TAAATAAATGAAATGACTTATAATCCCTCCGGACTACCAACTGTCTACTAAAGAATTTGAAACGCTCATCGACCAGCTTCCAAATCCATTCCTGTTGGTTGGAGATTTTAACGCGCACCACCCTCTATGGGGATGTAGAAGAACAGATTCTCGAGGCTCCTTAATTGAAAACCTTCTGTTGTCTTCTGGCTCCTGTATATTTATTAAAAAGAGCCAACATACTTTAACGTAGCGCGCAGCTCATGCACAGCAATAGATCTTGCTATCGGATCTCCTTCACTCTTGGCATGCAGTAAGTGGGCTGTAATTCATAACCTCTACGGAAGTGATCAGTTTCCTGTCTGTCTGAAACACACAGGAAATGTAAGTACGATGACTTCGAATGTAACCAGGTTCACAGAACAGGATGAAAACTGGGCGAAATTTCGAAAACTCTCAAAACTATCATGCTTATCCATCGAAAACCTAGGTATTGATGATTGTGAAGCGTTGGTCACACTGCACATTATACAGGCCGCAGAGCAATCCATCCCACATACATCTAACAATACACGGAACAAAAGACGACCTTGGTGGAACTCTGAGTGCAAAAATGCTCGTGACAATCAAAACAAAGCATGGTCGAAATTCCGCAGGTATCCTACAGTCGAAAACTTGGTGAATTTTAAGCGTGCAAAAGCAAACGGTAAACGTGTGTGACGAGAGTCTAAACGACAGAGCTGGCAATTCTTCCTCTTATCGGTGAACTCTTACACTGACACACATAAAGTGTATAACAGAGTAAGAGAACTCCAGGGACACCGCACTCATCTGGTGCCCCTTGTTAGTACTGCTGGTGATACACTGGAACACCAGGCAGATGCCTTAGGCCAACACTTTGAGTATACTTTCAACTCAACACATTATACAGACTCCTTTAGGCGATACAAACTTGCCGAAGAACGTAAAAATATTCGTGATGAAAGGCCATCGGCAGGAGGGCACAATACCCCCTATATTATAGGTAAACTAAAGGCAGCATTGGCAAAGTGCGGTTGCTCAGCAGCTGGCTCGGACAGGATTACTTACGGCATGCTGAAACACCTACACGAAGAAACTCTTGACGTCATCCTCATTCTTTTCAACAATGTATGGTCCTCTGGGCGTCTACCCATAATCTGGAAAAGGGCAGTTATCATATCCATCCTTAAACAAGGAAAAGAAGCCACACTTGCTTCTAGTTACAGGCCTATTGCGCTGACCAGCTGTTTGGGCAAGGTGTTCGAAAAAATGGTGAATCGCCGCCTTATGTATTACGTCGAATACAATGGCCTCCTTGATCGTCATCAAGCTGGATTCAGGTCTGGCCGGTCGACAACTGACCAACTTTGAATCATTTGAATCCTATGCCAGGGATGCCTTCATTCATAAACAGCACTGCTTATCTGTATTTTTTTTTACTTGGAAAAGGCTTACGACACGACATGGCGTTATGGCATTCTCCGTGACTGCGATCTTTTGGAGTGTCAGGAAGAATGCTGAATACTATTGAAAGCTACCTTTCTGACCGTACATTTGTTGTTCATGTTGGTAATGCATTATCAAAGTGGTTTACGCCAGAAAATGCCGTCCCCCAGGGCGTTGTTCTTAGCTGCACACTGTTCATCGTAAAAATGAACTCCATAAGCACTAGCCTACCTAAAACAATCTCCTACTCTGTATATGTGGATGGCAATCAGATCAGCTTCAAATCGTGCAACCTAGCCATCTGTGAACGTCAGATTCAGTTGGCAGTAAATAAGCTCTCAAGTTGGGCAGCAAAAATGGTTTTAAGTTTAACTGTGACAAAACTGTTTGCGTACTCTTTTCAAAACTACGTGGCATAAGGCCGTCCCTGAACGTCTCAATTAATGGGCAAACCATAGCTACTAAAAAAGATCACAAGTTTCAAGGTGTTGGGGTTGATGAAAACCTCAGCTTTGTTACACATATCAAACAGCTACGACTTAAATGCTTGAAAGCCTTAAACCTGCTCAAGATTCTCTCGCATCAGTCATGGGGCACAGACCGTGACTGTCTATTGAACCTTCTCAACAGTGTAGCGCTATCGCGTATCGATTATGGCTCGGTGGTTTACGAGTCAGCGTCAAGATCTGCACTGAAGATGCTTGACCCAGTGCACCACCTTGGGCTTCAGCGGTCCAGCGGTGCTTTCCGAACCAGCCCAACAGCCAGCCTGTATGTTGAGACAAACCGGTGGTCACTAGAACGGCGACGTCAGTTCACAAGTGTCACGTATGCCACCAAGGTGCTTTCCCATGTCGACCACCCAGCTCGTGCACTATTGCAGGATACATCAAACGCACACCTGCTTTTGAGGCGCCTATCAGCTACGCCATTGTATCCCCTCAGAGTGACCTCACACTTTGAAAATATGCACATACCGGTCTCCAATCTTCAACTAACCTCTCTCAAGGACACTGTGGTGCCGTGGGAAATGCAGGCTATCGATTGCGACTTG